ATTCGACGAACAAAATAGCAACACATAGCGTACAACGAAAATCATGTATTTGCGCGCACAGAACAAAGAAAAAGCAAAATTCATTTTAAAAAAGTGTCGATGAGATTCACATGAAAAAAATTCGTCAATAAATTTCTATTGAAATGGGTGCATTTATCGCGTAGCGTAAATGAGCCGTGGCGAGCAAACAGCAGGTGTAGTGAAATACACAGCGATCAAAACAAAATGATTTAAAGCTAATTCGATGTGCAAATTATATTAGATCGCTGAAGTCGAACACTCACTCAATATTATCTCGAAGAGCAATTACATCGATAAATCGTTGTGGTGGAAACTTACTTCGAAAGAAGAAAAAAAATCATTCGATAAAATCGCTAAACGATTTGAAAATGTAGATGAAAAAGAACCTAAAGAATTGATATACTATGGAGAAAAATGCAACGGGCTCAAATGTTGTCTATCGAAACAAAATGTGTCTTGTTGTTGAGAGCACTTAGCGCTTGATAGCTTCTGTGTGTGTGTGTGTGTTTGTATACTTTATGCTGCGAACGCGGCTGTGCTACGCTATGAATATGGATATGAATATGAAATTATAAAATGCGTTTTGTTCTCGCATTGCAGTTGTGCAATTAGTTAACGCACTGAATGCCCTTGCAATGATAATGTGAAGCAAAAAAAAAGCTAGCGAACTAGGGAGCCCCACAGCTCTCAATGCATATCACATCAACATATCGACATCGACAACAGCAGCCGCAGCATTTTTGCATTGTTTCTCTCGTTCGCAGCCGAGTTTTTTTTTTCTTCTTCTACTTCGGAAAGAGCGCGATTTATCATAAAGAGTGAAGAGAAACCCTAAAAGAAGAGACGAAGAATGATATCTGCTTACGACTACTCAAGCGAAATGCGTAAATGCATGCACTGCACACACCGTTTGTAGCTATGCGCTTCATAAAATTTCACCAACACTTCTACACGATTTGCATGATTTGCATGCAATCCGGTTTGTCTGTTTCTTTCACAACTTCATCTCCCGCTCGCTCGCTCACTCACTCGCGCTGCTGCTGCTGATGATGATGATGATTAAAGGCGACGCATGGACTTACAGTCAGCGTCAGAATCATTTTGCAATTGTTGAACGTGTGTTTGATGTTTAAATGTCTAAATTTTCATAGCGGTCAGTCGAAATGCTCAAATCAATTGAAATTTACCGAAATATGGCCTCATATTCATTGACACCAGAAAAAAGCAGCAGCAGAAAAGTGAAATGATAATTTTACCCTTCGAAATTACGTCAATTAACCCAGGCTTTGTGTTCAGGCCGCGCTAGCGTCCTATCTAAATACATTATAATGAATAAGTACAAACTAATACATATGCATTTCTACTATGAATACGTTTCATGCTATGTGTTTTAATTTCATTTAATTTTGGAAATTGAAAAAAAAAATATTTCTCGACAAATCATATTTTAAAACATCATTGCAATAAAAAAAAACTTCCAAGTAAGGATGAATATATTGATATTGAGTAAGAAAATTCGGTGAAATCGGTGAAATACTTGAATCAAACATAAACGTTTGAAAAACGTACGACGCGCGCCAAAGCATAAGTGATGTCAAAGTGTGTACAAAGAGTGAAGCAATAGTGCGTTTAATGCTATGTGCTATAGTGTCTCTGTTGATGTTGATCGCTGACGTTTATAGTGGTAGTTTGTGTTTATTTGAACAAAAGAAGAAATTATATTTTTTTCAGCGCATTGAACGGACTATCGACTGAGAGTTGAAAAAAGCGTTTTAAGTTGAAAAAATTTAAAGCAAAACTCATCACATCAATTATCACAGTTTGGTCAATTCCATCAAATGCAAAAACCTCAAAACGTTGCTTTTTTCTGAGCTCGTTCCGTTTCTCGGCCGATTTCTTTCTGCAAACGCTTGGTATCGTCGGTGTGTCATTGCGTGCTTACAGACATTTTCAATAATTTTCCATACCGAAACAAATGTTTACGGTTTTCCGTACGTTGCGCAACATCGACCACTTCAGCTCAACCATATGAAATGAAAAGGAAACAAATGAATAAATGCATTTGCTGGCGAGAGTAATAAATTGAATGTGCAACCAGAATTGTGCGGGGCGTTTTAACATACAACGGTTTTAACTAGAAAAATGGCTTGATTTGGCTTGATCTCCGCAGCAGCGGTGAAATTAAATCGGTAAAATTGATGATTAGATGCAACGGAAGACCTTTTATAACCCGATACCACCGTATTGCACTGAATGAAGAAGCTTCGAGAGGAGCAACTGGGCAAATTAAAAACTATAAGATATTCGAGAAAGACACAACCACAAACGATCAGTACTTTTTCTTCTGCATCGTTTTGATTAAATACTTGTTTTGGGTTTGTGTGTTTAAACAGTGCCACAGAAATGCCAAACATTTTAAGTGAATTCCGAATTGAATTTTCGATTTGCAAGAGATAATAAGAACAGAAAATCACATCACAACAATTTATTGTGCAATTGCAGTGCTGAGCGCGAGCGAGAGAGAAGCAAAGACAGACAGAGAATGAAATGTACGCGTTCACTTTGCGCCTATATATCACTGTTCGTCCGTGCACCGCATGCACACCAACCGAACGAAATTGCAAACTATTAATTTTCTTACTGGCTGCAATTATTTGATATTGGAAATTAAATCACGATACGAAACTACGAAAAATGGTTAATCAATATTGTTTATATATATACATGCTGCCTGTGTCTATGCTACGCGCAATCTGCTCTCTCTCTCACTCAACCATTTTCTCACTCTGTTGCTCGCGAAGCGCCCGTTTGCTCTCTGCAACAACGCACCAGCACCAAAGTCCGGTCTCTCTCTCTCTCTCTCTCTCTCTCTCTCTCTCTCTCTTCCTCTGTGCATGAACTGTGATGTAGCGTGCAATGCTCGTCGATTCTCAGGCTAAGGTGATTTCAACACCGAAGAACACAAAAACGGAATGAAAACTATTTGCGATGCGCATTACATTTCGTTTGGGCTAATTTACTCGTTGGTAACAATGCATCCCATTTTCAAGTGGCTTTTGTGCATTCGCAAAGCACTTGTGAGTGTGTGTGTGTGTGTGTGTGTGTATGTGCTGAGCGCACCAACGTGTACAAATGAAATCGATATCGCAATTTTTTTCCCTTTCAATTGCTCATTTTATTAATAATCGAATCTTTTCCGTTCGCTATTCTGCATCTATATATTTGATTTACTACGTTCACGGCACCAAACTAAACCATTGCATGTCTCTCGAATCGATTTCAATTTCCTTTTTTCCATTCAATTCGGTTTGACTCTCGCACTCCGGTTTTAACAAATGTTTTTGACGTTGTCGATGGATTTTCTTCGTACGAAATGCAAATCAAAATATGCTCAATGTCATAAACTTTGGTACTTGAGCGAACTGTTCCTTTTGCATTTCTTAAGACTCTGTTCACACAATGTACAATTCAAGTGATTGCTGATTTGTTGAATCGATTGTGTGTGCCTTCGCAATGAGGAAATCGCTCGCAAAACTCATACCTTTATTCATATCAGAATAAGGAGAAGCGTCTAATTCTGATTGTTCATGTGTTTCAATTCTGTAATAATGAAAAGTTGAAATCATTTCAATTGAATGCTGCATCCGGTTCGAAGTGCACTTCACTGAAAACTTTTCCACGATTGACAGCTTGAGTTAGATCCTTGTTCTCGATCAAAATAAAAAAATCTCTTTCCATTTCCATTCATTAATCACAATTACACAAAAATTTTCCGTGTTTTTGATTCGTTTCCGATGGCTTTTGTCGGCGGTACAAAAAAAAAACACCAAACACTTTGATAGTCCTTCAATCAAACAAATAGCAAATCCATAAAATTAACGAAACGACCAAACACCTCCTCATATTCACTGGTTTTTATTATTTCCAGAGAGAGAGAGAGACAGACAGAGAAGCTGTAATTTATGGTATTGTGTGACTACTTTATAGCTGTTGTTTTTCTCGAATCAAGAAATAGAAAAACTTTGAAGAAAAAAAACGAAAACAAATCTTTCGAAGTGTTCGCGCTGAACGAAAACGGCCAGTCAAAACATCCATCATAAAGAAAATCATTAATGCTTTTTTTTTTCGTTCGCAATCATTCAAAGCAGCACATCATTAGTCTCAACAAATTAGTTAACATTTATCGAAATTCGATTATTATGATTATACCGTTTACTACTGTTCGACTGTACCGAATCCCCCGTACTATTTACAATTTTACACTTTGGAACATGATTGATGAAAAAAAAATTCAGTTGGCAAATGTTGTCTATGGGTTACTTTTTTTCGGGAGTTTATTTTTTTTCTGGTTTGTTTCATCTTTCTCGGTCAAAACTATTCTCTTTTCATATTCTTTTTTGTCTTGGTTTTCAAATGATTTACAACTGGGTGACTAAATGGTTGCGTCCATTTTTCGAAGCGGCGAAGAAAAATAACTGAACTGATACGTATGATTTATCGACATCCTTAATTGAGAAGAGATTTCTTTCGAAGCTACACCGAAATGAACGAAAAATTACACGACAGTTGGACAAATACATCTCTCGCATTTCTTTCACATGATGAAGATTATAGTTTTTTCCGATAATTGTATGATTTATATTGTGTTTTAAAACAAATCCACTTAGAAATATGGGTGTTTTAAACACGAAGAAGAAGAAAAAGAAGAAAAAGAAGAAGAAGAAGGAGATGATGATGAAAAAAACAATGTGATAACAATAATTATCTCGTTTAAAAAAAAAAAACAATAATAATTTTTCTATATCCATTTTGTTTTGTTGTTGTTTGTTAATTTCCATCATCAACACTACAAACTACTCCAATCAAAATTTTCAGTATAAAAAAAAACAATCCATTCAATCAAACAAACAAAAAAAAATCTTAACTCAAAAAAAGTAATTCAATGAACGAACGGTCGATTTTTTTTCTTTTATTTTCAGATGCTTGTCGGTTAAACCCCTTGAAAGGTATCTATCTCGAAAGAAAAAATAATGAAAATATTCCTTCCCTCAATCGAAAAAAATGAAAATCCGCACAACGCCGCGAAATGTTCGTTAACGTTTTTCGCGCGCGGCAAATGTGCCACAGAGACACTCAAACACACACACAGAGAGAATGAGTTTTGAGGGAAATAGGAAATGTCTGCAGGCGATTCAACTGGCTGGGGTGTAGTCAACAGAGGATATCACCAACCACACATACACACATCATCGTGCTCCGCATCGCATCTCGTGTTCACATGTCTTTTTTTCACGAAAAAGAATTTCTTTTACGCATCGCACAACTACCAAGTCCAAGTAACACATACTCACACGCCAAGACGCATATAAACAATGCATAATTATCTCCGAATGCGACACGAAATACCAAACCAATTGACCAAAAAAAAACACATGAGTAATTTTTTGATGTGCATTTTTTATTTGTATTGGAGTCCTTTGCGGCTACACCTCACTTGTTGGCCCTAAGGACAATCTGTAATGTATTTTGTTTTGTTACAAAACACACAACCACCATCAATCATCAGAGTAACTGTTTTGTTTTTTTTAATTTTTTCTATTTACTTGACAACTTTTTTTCATTTCCTTATTTCCATCATTTCATTTATTTCGGTCTCTTTTGGCCAACGAAGAAATTCAGTGTTTATTTTGTTCATTTTTCAAGTTTTTTCTAAATTTTAATCTATTTTTTGTCGAAATTTTCTTTTCTTCAATCGAAAAATATTTAAATTTGTTCAGTGTCAAACTATTCATACTTGAAAAATGTGTTTAGTGACTCTTTTTCTATTCATTCTCTTCTCTCTGTTACGTTTAGTTACCATCTCGAATGTCTCTCATTATATTCAAACTCACAGTTTTCAACTCGTTCATATGTTTAGTTATTCACGATTTTATTTTTGAGGGAAATGAAAGAACAACATTAATTGCATATCGCATACACCTCTCATGCTATTTCTCTCTCTCTCTCTCTCTTTTCTCTCTTTTCTGTTTGTTTCATTCAATTCCGAAATTCAATAGTTAACTCTCCTCTTTTTTTCGTTGTTGTTGTATAAATTATGGTACTTTCCGTGTTTTCTATATAGTATAGATTTATTTTGTTTTGCGACGTGTTTGCGGGCGCTCGCGTCTCGCGCCTCGCACACTGGATATAATATTGTGTTATTGTAATCCGTTTATAATAATACAAACGATACAAAATGAAAGTGTTTATTTTTCGTACAATATATGTATTGTTGTGCTGTTCACAATAATCGTGAAATTGCATGCGATAATTTTAATTCATGGTTTATTTTTCGGTGCATGATTTGACCAAAAGCCGTTGCATATTTTCCACCGTTTTTTTTCTCTCTCTACTTTTATAACTATACATATTGATCCCCATTGAATTATATTTGCTCTCCATTCGTATGGTTTTTTTCTCTCGCTTGCTCTCTTTGTTTTCTGGCCTCTACCGTGTTAGCTCTTTCATAAATTTCGATTCCAATCGCATAATGTAAATAAAAAACCAACGACTCACAATGTTCAAAAAGTTCACAAATCAAGCGACACAAAAAAGTCAATCAGCCACAACCTTTTTACTGCCATTTATGCGAATCAGCGGACAATATTTATGCTTTCACTTCGCTGCCCAATCACACACTGAATGTATGATTGATTTTAATTTGCCGCTTTTATTTATCCATTTTTATCGTGACGATTTTTTCTCTCGGTTTCAAAGAGCAAAAAAAAAGACAGCCAAAAAAACTGGGCATCACGACGAGTGAAAAAAATGACATTTTATTTTGCCCGACAATCGACAAACAAAAACATATTAAAATTCAATTATTTCCAAGTCAAAAGTTGACTGAACAAATGAAAATATTCAATTAAAAGAGCGGCATTTAGAATTTTGATTCAGCTATTTGGGTCTTTTTTTTCCAGATATTTGCAATATTTTTTCGCATATCACAAAAAGTCGAAAGGTTTTTTTGCGCCATTCAAATGTTTCTGTGATAGAATTTGAATATTTGTTTGCCAAAAACCAACTTTTTCGTTCAGATTTTTTTTAGTGTATCAAAATATTTGTCGAAATCTGTCTTTTTTTATGGTAAATGGATCGTGAAATATTTTCCGCTAAAAGCCCAATTCACGTGAGCGCAATTTTTTGCACCAATTTCCAAATCCATTTCACAAATTCCCCCCACATTCATTCGATATTCCAATTTCCTCAAACGACGAAATAATTGATTTTAATTAATCAATCGTTCTTTGAGCTGAAACACATAAATTATGACGTCAGTCACGGTATTTCTCTAAACAAGATCTTTTATCGTCTCGTCGAAGTTTGTTTCAATTAAATTGTTGAATTCCTCGGTTCTCATCAGACGAGGGTTTGAATAAAATGCTAATTAAGCAAAAATTCCGAGCAATCGTTGTTGCCACAGACATTCGACGAATGAAAGTGATGTTGTAAATATCAAAAAGCAGTTATTCGAATATGCAAAAACATAATTTTCAATTGAATTTCTGAAATGTCAAAGACTTTGGCTGAAAAATATGATAAATTGCCATTTGTCATAAAAGAAAATCTGGTTCGTGCACTGGTGCTGCTCGCATAACCATGGAAAATGAAAGATATTTTCACTTTCTATATGATTATATTTATGACATCTAATATCAATTTAAAAAGGATGAGGTTGAGAGAATGTTTTCAATTCTCGGAAAGTTTTTCACGTTTTTGCGCGCCGGAGCGGTGCTCCCTTTCAGTTTCACGCGCGCACATGTAGCAATAACATTCGTTTTTGCTATGTAATTAAAATCAATTTAAATCTTACGTTACACTTTGGCACAGTTGGAAACGCACGGTTCGATCTGCGTGTGTGTGTATGTGCCCAATAAGTATGATTTCTTTGGTTGTGAGATCGAAAAAGGGGGAGATCCGTACACGGCATGAGCCAACAGAAAAATGGCAGTTAGATTGAGAGACACGCGGCGAAACGAAAAAGACGATACGAAGTACGCAACTTATTTAATTTTACATTTAGAATGAATCTAAGAAAATTGCTGCTATGATCTGAGTTTGTCTGTAATTTGAATCGCTTTTTCGCTTTAGCCCATACGACGTTTCACCATACACGAGCTACAAAATGATTACAAACATAATCATAGCTCGTGTAGTCGTCGTCGGGGGGAAACAATGACAAAGTTACTGATTCGAATGAAGTGTCTGTCATTAAATGGCGTCAAAGAAGCCCATCGAATGAGAATTAAATTATGACAAAGTTTTTGGAAACGGCACTCGGTAAAAGGGTTTTCCGTTTCTATTCGCCATGTATCGAGAAAGTGATCTGTCTTTGGAAATGCTTTTATTGATATTTAATAGTCTCAATTTCAGTGTTTCGATCCGCATTTGAATTGAAAATTGAAAAGAAAAATCTGTCAGCCAAATCCCAAATTGAATTTGCCTAAATGAAATGGCATTGCGAATCAATCAGCATGTGTTTTTATGCGCAGATGAAAAGGTGCCGAAGGAGAAACCGTGTGAATTTGATTGAATGTCTCTTGCAGCATTGCAAATAAAAGAATATCAATCAAAAGGCGAATGAATGGAAAAAAAAATGGGCTGTTAAACGAAAAAAAGAAGCCGAATCAAAACGAAGTCATTAAAATTCCATCAAATAATTTGTTGTTTTCTGGCATTTCAAAGAGCAGCATCAACGCTGGAATGTGTATTTCGTCATTGTTTGACATTCCATTAAGGAGCCGAGGCGAAATTGAGCCGATATTAATCTGCCGTGTAGTGCTGGTTTTTTTTTTTGCACTGCTGTTTATTTACTCATACACGAATTACATGCTTTGTACAATATGAATGCCATTCAAAATTCATATTCAATTGAATGAAGGCACACAGAGAATGAGCGCAGCGAAAAAAACATTTGCTGTGTACACACAAAAGGAAGATAACACACGCTGAGAGTGTTTTTCAAACGTAAACACTCGAGAGAAAGAGATTGCGCGCTCGCAATGCAACGCAACAGTAAGCCACTTTTGTACCGATTTCGATGTGTCGGATGGGCTTTTGTGTCGAAAAACTATTTTTGTGTTCTTTCTTTCTTTCTCTCTCTCTCGTTGACACGAAAATATCCTTGTGAAAGCCGAGCTACCTAAACCATATTTGTTACACATTATACTAACTGCGATGGGCTGATTATAATCATACAGTGGAAAATGATGGCAAATGATAATAGTCATCGGCAGAAGGAGTGCCAGATTATCCTTTGTGTTGTTTTGTTCGTCGAGTACACACATTGTCATTGCAACAACAATTACATTGAATTTAACGCACACAAATCTTGCATAATCGAAATAACAAGACAAACACTCGAGAGAAGGAAGAAAAAAAATGAGCCCATTATCCTGTTTTGACTGCTGTTCTCAGTTCGGCTTTTCCAATTCACACATTTACACTTTGTCACTGGGCCGATACAATGTTGAGCCGGGTGAGTTTGAGTGACAAAAGTTGTTGGTAGATAACAAAAAAAGAAGTGGCAACAGTTATTAAATTTGATGCCATCCCTTTAAATGACATTTCATCGGCTTACACATGTCCCAAACCCGGCACTCAATGGAAAACAGCATTTAAACAGAGGCAATCTTTTTGCTTTCGACTATTCCATTCTTTCTCCATCAGCATTTCATCCTTTTTTCATTATTTTGTTCTTTTATTTCAATTCGCTTCATCAATTGTTGTGCCTTCTTATATTTTAATGAATAAATGCCGCAAATTTTCTTCATAAAACTTGGAAAAGCAATCATTTCCGGCCGCTTTCTTTCCATCACCGGCACACAATTCCGAACCGTCATTTATTCATCAAAACTACCGAATACAAGGCGAGAAATTAATCGAAAGCTATTTTGCAGCCAATTATTTTCAATTAGAATGCAATCAACAATAATAAAAGTGTTTGTGCGTTCGGTTCAATGAAGAG